ACACACACACACACACTGTCAGACTTCAGTCTGTGTTTTTTTGCTTATTAGAGAAGAAAGTGAAGTCACAGATCACAGAGCACGTGTGTCTTTGATCTCAGCTGTGAACAGAAAATAGATCAAGTGTTAAAAACACATTTTTGTTTCCTGTGATGTGAGGTTTTCAGACACAGGGACAAACGTCTGTTGATCTTCTGTCTCCTCAGAGCTGCTGCCGTCAGTGAACCTGGAGCAGACGAACCTTCGGCCTCCAGACTCTGCAGACCGGAACCAGCCTCAGCCTGAACTCACAGACAGCGATGTTTCCTGCCCGTCATCGCCATCCCCTCGCTCCTCCTCTCCAGCTTACAAGCCCCCCGAGTCTCCGAGCAGCTCAGTCGTCCACAGCGACAGTGATCCAGACAGCGACTGGGCCCAACAGCATCAGACTCTCAGATCTCAGAGTAAAAAAAAAAGAGGCAGACCTTCGCTTGGTGTCAAAAACAAGCGGAAACGGTCGACTCCATCTCAGTCGTTCAACTGTCTGGTTTGTGGACGAGCTCTGCTGGGGAAAGGCTTCCTGCTCAAACACGTTTTGCAGGTCTGTGCCACAGACAGACAACACCGCTGTGGCTACTGTGGCGAGCGCTTAGACTCGGCCAACGCGCTGAAAGCTCACCTGCAAACACACCAAGACACATGTAAAACCTGCTCCTACTGTGGGAAGCGCTTCCAGTCTATTCTGGCCCAGGAGCTGCATGTGCGACTCCACACTGGAGAGAAACCATACAGCTGCAACGTCTGCGGCAAGATGTTCAGCCAAAAGGGAAACTTGACGTCACACCTGCGCGTCCATGCAACAGAGAAACCCTTCCAGTGTCAAGAGTGTGGCCGGGCCTTCTGTCACTTGACATCTTTAGACCGACACATGCAGCAGCACAAGGAGAAGGTGGTTCACACCTGCAGCGTCTGCACTCAGGAGTTCAGGAAGCCGCACAGCCTACAACGGCACATGGAGACTCATCATAAAGATGCCGCCCACAAACCAAAGAGATTCCGCAGCTCTGTTCCCTCCTACATCTGCAAAGTCTGCGGCGACACCTTTGGCAGGAAGTCCTTCTTAGTGAAACATGTGGAGACTCACCTGCAGGAGCCAGACTGCTGCTGTGGACTCTGTGGTCAGCAGTATGAGTCCGCTGCCAGCCTCGCCGATCACTTTAACTCCCACCGCGATGTCAGTAACACCTGCGACATCTGCGGGAAGTGCTTCACAGCTCACGCGGCGCTGCTGATGCACATGAGGATTCATACCGGAGAAAAACCGTATGCCTGCCACTTATGTGGGAAGGCTTTCAATCAGAGCGGCAACCTGAAGATGCACCTGAAGATACACACTGGTGAGCGGGCGTTCTCCTGCAGCATCTGCGGGAAGGGTTTCACCCAGAAACAGACTTTGGACACTCATGTCCGGTTCCACAACAAGGAGAGACGCTTCCTGTGTCAGGTCTGTGGGAAAGGCTTCATGCAGGACGTGGACCTGAAAAGACACCTGCTGATCCACACTGGAGAGAAGCCGTACACCTGCAGGGTCTGTGGGAAGAGTTTCCAGGCCAAACGATCACTCAACGGACACCTCAAAGTCCACACAGCAGGGGGCACTGAGACTGGACTGGAGCTGGACCAGGACTCAGAGCAGCAGAGGATGAACAGCTTCTACTCAGGATTCCTCCAACTGTAGAGTCCAAGACTTCACTCAGGTCTTGCATTTAAAACTCTGCTTCCTGTCAGTGCTAGATCTCAAATCTGGGCACCGACTGAAACGTGTTGTCTTCATACTCACAGTAAAATGCAGCGATTATCGATCGAGAAAAACATGAAACATTTGCTTTTTTTAGTTCTTGACAATTTGTCTTTTACCTCAAAGTTTGTTCCTTTCGTCTGTTCAGTAACATTTAATACAATTAAAGGTTCAGAATCATGAAGATATGAACGCTGCCATCTTGTGCTGGTGACATCATTCTGAGTCTGTACAATAGATCGTGACGTGGGGGCGGCGGTTTCGAGATCACGTGACTCTGCCTCTCTCTCGTGTGTGTGTGTGTAGTTCAAGGGTTCATTGTCATATGCACAACTATTACAATGAAATGCTTGAGTCCCAGGCTCCCCTCTAGACATGCTCTGAATTTACGAAAATAAAAATAGAA